ACTGCCCCACCAAGGAGTCGTAGATGCGCGCCCCGAAGTGGATCATGTTAGTGAGCGGGTCGATGAGGCCTCCGTGGAAGTCGATGGGCAGGTAGAAGCTCGGGCTGGAGTCGAACAGGATGTGGCCGTAGGGCCCTCGGTGAATCTCTTTGGCGGAGTCTCCTTTCTTGTCCAGCAGCAGTAGTGGGCTGCCGTTCTGGTCCGTCGTGACGTAGTACTGCTCCTTGTTCACCACCAGGTAGATCAGAAAGTTCCTATCGTCATAGAGGAACTGAAAGACCTTGCCATCTGCGTTGTTGTAGATGTGAGTCACCAGATGAGGTTTAGAAGGGTTCCCGTAAAGAAATTGGGTTAGATTGCCGAAATTATCTTTCCGAACGGAAAGGTAGCCTTTACCATTATAGAAGTATTCCACTTCGTATCGTTCGTTCTTCGAAGCTTTTATCAGCTCGCCTCGAGTGTTGTAAATGAAATGTTCCTCTCCCCTCTGTATGATGAAGCCGCGTCCATCCACCACGTAGGGCGTTTCGCCGAAACTGACAATTCTGTCCCCCACGTCGTGAAGGATATCTATCTTATTGCCCATGTATTGAATCGTTACGAGATTACCATTAAGGTCATAGGAAAATTTCCATTGGTCCCTTCCGATCATTTCAACGAGCTGTCCGTCATCATCGTAAGAGAAGTTCTGTAGCCTCATCTTTGACGATCCCAGGTGGGTTGTGTAGATCTTCGACTGGGTGATGGAGTTCTTGCCGTCGTATTCCACGTCCATCCTGAACACCTCGCGGTCATTCATCGTAAAGGAAGTAAGTCGCAGCCTGTGCAAGGCATCCATTTGTTTGGTGAAAGAGGCAGTCCCATCTGAATACACCGTCTCGTTTCCATTACGTTCTACAACTTTAAAGTTTCCAATCTTTTCCAGCTGTCCTGTCTTTGAGTTGTAGTGAATTTCGAGGACAGGTAGTTGCAGAGTGCCGATTCTTGTTACAACAGTGCGCATACGCTGCATCTTGTCGTGCTGGTAGTGGTAAGAAGCGGAGGTTAGCATGAGCAGGGAGCTGGTGTATTCCACCTTCATGTGGGAGACGGAAGAACCATCGTATTGGAACTCGTTGAGGACCTCGAGGCCGTCCCGTGACCCCACCTCTGAGGCCACCAGTCCCGTGGAATGGTAAGTACGCCGAACGCTGCCGCCTCCGTACACGATAGAACCCAGCGTAGATTCGTTCGTGTACCTGTACAAGATGCGGCCTTGATCCCCGGGGAAGATCTTCATGGTCGGCAACTTGTGGTCGCTGAAGTGAACTACGTAAGCGCCCACGTTACCAGGTGCCATATAGAAGAGTTTGTAGAATCCGATAGAGATTAGAATGAGGAAGGAGTGCTTGTAACCCTTGGGGTTGGTGATGTACTTGAGACCTCCGTTGTCGTCATAGTGGTAGGTGAACTTCCTGCCGCTGGGCAGCGTCACCTTGCTGGGCTGTGGACACACATGTGACACACTGTCAGGAGATCTAAGCGCTCTCTCTACACATACATGTAATTAAGATAAAAACGTTTGAAATTGAGAAGAAAGTCAAAGACTAACAAAAACCAATAATATTTAACTAAACTTATAAAATATTCTGTACTTTATAGAACGCTTCAAAAATTTAGCAATATAGCATGGGAATTAGTAATTGTAAAGATGAACACATCATTAGAGTGCAAGTCCAGAGTGATAGAACGATGAAGTAACAACAAGTAGTTCCAAGTCCTCATTCACACAAATATTGTAAAGGTATTTAGTCAGCGAGAAAGCTGGTAGAATTAGAGAAGGAAGTTGAAGCTGCAATATCAATTCGTTGTGACAGAATTGTAATTTCACTATATAACCAATATTTGGATAAAACAGTACTTTTTATTAGAACAATTTATAAATATAGTTAAAATAAATATAAAATATCAATTTAGAAAGCGAGTGTTCAAAGACACTAGTCTATTGGTCAAAATGTCTTGGTCTTTTTCTTTTTTACCTACTTTACTAAGAACCAAACAATGTTAAATTAACATATATTGCCTTTTAGATGGCAGAGCCAAAGAAGGCCAACAGCCCAAAACGCGTACTGGGTTGGCTTTTCTTGACTTATAAGAAAATGGACCTGCCAAATATTATTAAACAATCTAAATCAGCATTTAATTGATTTTTGACCCACTAGATGAAATGATCATGTGAGCGGTCATGATATGCCTTCTTTGTATATTTATTCCATCGTGTTGGAAATTGCAGGAAGATATTTTAAATATTTAATCGATTCTCCGCAAAAGGTTTCTTTTAAATATAAGAAACCTTATTAAAACCTTTTAAAAGAAATCTTTTGCGGAGAGTAGCCAATTAAAAATATTAATATATATATATATCTTCGATAAATTCCTATTTATATTTATTAGTCGTGCTGATGAGCAAACATTTGATATTGGCAATTGAAAAGTTCTGAAATTACTAGTATCAGGATTTTTAAAATGTTATCCCATTAGATTATCTCCGAAAAAACAAAATTGTAAATTCTTCTATATGCACTCATCTTTAAATTATAAATCAGATTATTTATACAGTTTTATATATTCCCACAGAAGAGAGGGCATCTCGGAGAGAAAGAGACCAAGAAAAATTAATTTAGCAAAAGCCAGAGAGAATTTATAAATTCTTTGCTCGATCCCAGTGTTAAATGTTTATTGGATTATCTAACCTCATTTCTGATGGAAATGTATAGTTAGCCTTTTGCTTTATTAGTTATCTTGTAAACTGAACTTTGATATTTTCATAACTGCCTCAATTCTTTATTGAGAAAAGGTCAATACAACAAACACGCTGAATAATAGCGATATTCTAATGAAATTCCGCCTTCGTTTGGCATACAAAATCGAATTTCCCTGAATGGAAGTTCAATTTCATCAGTGAGTTCCCAAATTAAATTACAGCCCCCTTGTTAATCCTAACTGTGTGTGTGCTCTCATATATTTTAAATGAACCAATTATTCTCTCCATTGATCTGCTCTGGTAATATTTGGCTTTCCATGTCCATTCCATGTCTGATGCTGCAATTAAATGATCAAGTGTATTTGACGTACGCCAACGATCTGTATTTACATACTGGAAGGCTATCTTTGGGTGAAGAAAGGTAGTATATGTAAGGTGAGCTTCTATCTGGATGTGTGTGTGTCAGCTCACACAGGTATATTCTAAAAATAATTTATACCAAGACTTTATAGAACTTATTTTGTGTTTTTCAAGTACAGTAGACTCTCCTATAACACGAGTTTTTACAACGTAATTTCGTACAACGCGATAAAAAATTGCGACAAATTTATTTATACAACGCGAATTTTCGTATAACGCGTTATAAAATAAAATGCGGAAATTCCCATATTGGAAACTGTACAATACATTTCTTTGTACAGCAGTTCTTATAAAAATCATCCAATCATTTTTAAATCGGAGAAGAAAAACAAGTCTCACCTTTTCGAATACTACAATTTCAAAATATTTATCAAAGGGATGTCCTCAAGGCGGACCATTATCACCTTTATTGTGGAATATACTGCTGAATGATTTGTTGATCAACTTCGTATCCCCAAATTCTGAAGTAATCTGTTATGCGGATGATGTTTCCATTGTTTGCTGGCACAAGACCAAGAAGGGTTAAAAAATGAAACAGAAAATACTTTAAATTATGTAATACAATGGTGTACAACAAATAAGCTAAATCTAAGCCCGGAGAAAACCGGCTTAATACATATGCACGGCAAACAAAAGATTCCAATGAGAACTCCAAAATTCATAATAAAACCGGTGGAAGAAGTAAAAATTTTAGGTATAAAATTTTCTAATCACAGAATTAAGTCAAAAATTAACTTTACACCCCACATTAATGATATTCTTTGTAAAACCAACCGTATGAAAAATCTGCTATTTTCACTCTGTGGGAAAATGTGGGGATTGGATGCTAAAAAAAATATTAATTTTATATAAAACTCTTTTCAGACCAATACTAACCTATGGATCTGAAATATGGTATAAATTTATTAATAAAAGAAGTAAGCAAAGATTAAACTCTCAGCAATATCAGATTCTTCTTTGGGTAGTGAGAGCCTATAAAACGACCTCATCAAATTGTATTCATAGTTTGGCAAAAATACCTATTCTCACAGATCACATAGAATCGTTGATAATTTGATAATTTATTTAGACCGCATGCCCCAACTATAATTCATAACTTCATAGAATCAAGAATGGCTGAAACAATAGCTAACACTAATGAAACATCCCGAAATTTTTCCCATTTGGAATTCCTTTTTATTTTCGTCCGAATTTTTATAACTCACAGTTCATCACAAATCATGGTAATTTTGGAGAATTTCTGTCGAAAATCGGGTCAACGGATGATCCTAGCTGCTTCTTTGGAAAAGAAAACCAAGACTCAATACATTTATTATTAGAATGTCCGATATTTCACAGCTACAGAAGTAATCATTTTTATCCCATCGAAGAAATTTGCGAATTTGTATATAACAAAGACACTTATGTAAAACGATACTTGAAGCTACACCGCATGAGTTTCTTTCCAACGAAAAATAAATATTTTATTCAAAGGTGAAATATCGACCATTTCTATCCTTTTTGGATGAGGTATGAAAGGGTGAATTATGAAGAGTAATGACGAACGGAAAAATAAAAGTGTCCAGGGATGGGAATCGAACCCACAATGTTCCCTTTACCGGGCAGATGCTATGTCCACTAGGCTACCCTGGACGTATTTTTCCGTTCGTAAATTATACATAAAGTAACTTATAATACAATATAATACACTGCGGCCTGTGATTGTAAAACGATACTTGAAGCTACACCGCATGAGTTTCTTTCCAACGAAATCGTTTTACAATCACAGGCCGCAGTGTATTATATTGTATTATAAGTTACTTTATGTATCATTTACGAACGGAAAAATACGAGTACGTCCAGGGTAGCCTAGTGGACATGGCATCTGCCCGGTAAACGGAACATCATGGGTTCGATTCCCATCCCTGGACACTTTTATTTTTCCGTTCGTCATTACTCTTCATAATTCACCCTTTCATACCTCATCCAAAAGGATAGAAATGGTTGATATTTCACCTTTAAATAAAATATTTATTTTTCGTTGGAAAGAAACTCATGCGGTGTAGCTTCAAGTATCGTTTTACAATTACAGGCCGCAGTGTATTATATTACACCTACTAGCGGATGTGCCCGGCTTCGCCCGGGTTTTACCCGAGTGAATGTTTGTCTAACGAACATTTGTTAAAACAATTCTCTATAAACTTATAAAACGTACTCGGCTTCGCCCGGGGTTTTACCCGAGTAAAGGTTTGTCTAGCGAACATTTGTTAAAACAATTCTCTAAAAACTTATTTAAAAAAAAAAAGATATATTTTGATAATTTGAAACTCGTAAATTTGAATCTCTCGATATATTGTTATCATCGTCACAATGGGGGCGCTGCTTGCGAGTTAAATCTACAAATCTGCAAATAACTCTAAGGATATTCAAGATATTCAGGAAATTATTTTTCAAAAACCTTCCCGGTGATATACCTAATAATATCCCAAAATTTCACGACGATTGGATGTATGGTTTTTGAATCTATAGAGTGCAGACAAACAGACAGACATTCAATTTTATATATATAGATAGATTCACTCTTCATTGTTGGCTTTTTATCTTACATTCATTCTTCATTGTTTGCTTTTTATATTACATTCACTCTTCATTTTTGGCTTTTTATCTTACATCATTCTTCATTGTTGGCTTTTTATATTACATTCACTCTTCATTGTTGGCTTTTTATCTTACATTCATTCTTCATTGTTGGCTTTTTATATTACATTCACTCTTCATTGTTGGCTTTTTATCTTACATTCACTCTGTTGGCTTTTTATATTACATTTACTCTTCATTGTTGGATTTTTATCTTACATTCACTCTTCATTGTTGGCTTTTTATATTATATTTACTCTTCATTGTTGGCTTTTTATCTTACATTCATTCTTCATTGTTGGCTTTTTATATTACATTTATCCGAGTGAAAGTTTGCCTAACGAATATGATATATTATGAAGTATAATAAACAATGTTAAAGATTAGTTTTAATTATTAATCAAGATTGTGTGTGAATATGTGAGAAAGATGTAATATCAACAACAACAACAAAACAGCTTTATTAGGGCATCTTGCCCTGTACGGATTCTCCGTGGAGTTACAGACAATATTAACCATAAGAGAACAGGTGAAAATATAGTATTTACAGTCAAGGTATGTCAAACAGGGTGACTTTTTATTGTGCCCCTGTTCTTCTCTCTTCCATGAGTGCAATTTTATTCCCAACCGCTTTTTGAAAGTTGAACAGTTCAATTGCCCAACTTTTCTTATCTGAAACAGTTTTTATTAGCTTTATTGAGTTCAAATGCGGTCTAGGAAGACTTTTCAGGATCTTTTTTCTCTCTCCTTCCAGATCCCCGCATTCGGCAATAAAATGGTATATTTCATCAGTTACCTGACTTCCACATAACCCACAGTATAAATCTTCTTTCTTAATTGCGTAAATATGATTTTCTTTGATCATTGTTGACATTAATCTGATCTGTGCAATAAAGCTCACTAAAGCTGAAGACAGATAGCATGAAAAGTAATTTTCTGGAATAAATGAATCATAAAGTAACCTATAGTTTGAGTATGTTTTCGTAAGAGATAATTTTGCCAGATCTTGCTGCAATAGCTGTTCAATTTTTATTTTTAGTATATTCGGAAGTTCGATCTGTATGTCATCATAATTTAACCTATAGTTTAGCCATGTGAGTCCACAATGATTGATGATATCCATAATATTCTTACAGAATCCTATAGGTTTTTTTGTCATTAAGGAAATTTCCTTCAATCTATTCCAGCATAGCTTAGGTAGTCTATTGTCTTCCATTTTTTGTAATCTAATGAAATATTTCAAAATTAATTTGATCGTTGTAAAAGTCAAAGATATTCTGCCTGTTTCCAGCCTTACAATGTACCCTGGTATATATCTTGGTAGATTCAGAAAATTTTTGATAAACGTATTCTGTAATTGGTCTATAATATCCGTATTGTCCCAAGCCCACACAGGGGCCGCATAGAGCAGTATTGATTTAATAACTGAGTCAAATAGATTCAGAGCAACTTTTAATGAGTTAATTTTTTCTTTTTTTATCAGTCTAATAGTTGCATTTATTGCCGTATTTGCTTTGGCTTTATAAAAGAGGGCTACCTTTTTACTATTAATAGTGGAAGTGAATGGATATCCCAGATATGTAATATTGGACGCAACAGTCAGTGGGGTAAGATGTAATATCGTTGTTGTTTTCTTGGCCGACTGATTTACATATGGTGTTATCTTAAAATTGCTTGTTTTGAATATTTTTTTAGATTGAGTTGAATGAATTGCTGATTTTTTTTTTTTGTATTTATATATAAATAAAATTAACTATGTTGATTTTTTTGTATTTAATCGATAACAGCTAAGTTACGCATGTTAATGTTAGGGAAAAATATTTTGATGATAAGCAAAACCTGCTCCATCTCGTTTTACATAAATGTTGAAAATTTGGTTGAAATTGATGCATTGTAACGAAAGTTTTTAGTGATGTCCTCTTATGAAATTTGCATTTTATTAATATAGATGTAAAATTTAATAATTTTTGTAAATTCATTTTAGATTTTCTCTTCTGTTTGAGAAAACCATCATTTCAGTTTTAATTGTGTTTTTAGTCGGTTATTGAGTCGTATATAATGAATTGTATATAGGTTGCTAAAATAATTTATTTTAGATTTTATCTTCTGTTTGAGAAAACCATCGTTTCAGTTTTAATTGTGTTTTTAGTCGGTTATTGAGTTGTATATAATGTATTGTATATAGGTTGCTAAAATAATTCATTTTAGATTTTCTCTTCTGTTTTATAATACCATCGTTTAAGTTTTAATTATATTTTTAGTCCGGTTATTAAATTGTATATAAAATGAATTGTATATAATCTGCTAAAATGTATTTAGGCGCAAGTATCCCCAGCTGGGATATCGCGTCCGATATGTCAAATAAAATAACAATACATTTTATTTTTATGCACACGAGTTTTTCAATTTTTTTGTTTTTGAACGAGGTAGCGTTGTATACCTTGTCAATTTAATTGCACATGTGTTTCTGTAAGTAAAATTTTTTAAATAGTGTTAAATTGAGTTTTAAAGCTTAAAATAATATTTTTAACGCATATAAGGTATTAAATTAGAATTTACATGCAAATATTTTGCAAATATAAAAAAATTACGAAACTTGCTCCCCAGGCATGATGAATAAAGTTGGAAAAAAGAAAAATTGAAAAGGAGATGTACTGTATCATCTAAAAATGTATTGTATAAAATGATGTATATAGGGAAAATATTTATAAACTAAAACAATCAGCAAAATCAAATACTATTATCGCAAACTTTTATATACATCCACATAGATTTAATGACACTCATAGAAAATTTATCCAAGAGCTTCTGGAGACCTACAATCAACAACCTATTATACTATGTGGTGACTTTAATTCTAGACACCCAGTCTGGTTTGATCCGACAACAAACTCCAATGGTTTCAAATTCCACTCCATCATAGATGAACATAACCTATTTATTCATAATCTTAAGATACCCACCTGCCGAAATTCTAGCTTTATAGATCTTACGATTTCAAACAAAAAATCAATAGGTTTGGTACAAAACTGGAAGACGACTATATTGACGCACATTTCAGATCACGTAGCAATAACCTTTGACATTTATCACAATTTTAACAGGCAAAGGACAGTTCAAAACTCAACATGGAAATTTATAGAAAAAGATGCTGATTGGAAATCATTTACCGAAAAAATAGCAATACAAGACGTAGATAATATTATCACCATGATAAACCACGCGTCAAACATCAAAGATATTGACAACATTGTAAAGACTCTCACACAAATAATTAAAGAGGCAGCTTATCTGTCACTAAATGTCAAGACAAGAAGCGGAAATCATAAAACAAATACATACTGGTGGGATGGGAAGCTGGAGAAAATGAAAAACGATTTCCACTATATTAGAAATTTGTATTACCGACATGGAAAGGTCCTTGAAAAGACCTATAAATCAATGAGAAATAAATATTTAAATAAAAGTAAAAAGGCAAAAAGAGCGAGTTGGAGAATTTTTATAGAAGAAAGTCATTCAAATAACTCATTTGGTAATGCTTATAGGATATTCAAGTCATTGAGATCGAAAAATAGAAATTTAGGATTACCACTAATAGATAATTTACCAGATCATTTAAAGACCGACAAAATAAAAAGTTTAATGAACGATCTATTTCAGGATGATATTGGAGGTTTGGATAAAGATGATCATATTTTGATTAGAAATTATACGCCTAAATATAAAAATAAAAGTAGTGTTTATATCGAATCTAAGGAAATAGAGGAAACAATTTTAAAAACAAATATTAAAAAAGCACCGGGCCCTGATTACATTAGTAACAATATGATTAGACAGGCTAAAATAAAAATAATCCCAATTCTGCATAAATTATTCAATAAATGTATAGAAATGGGATATTATCCGGATGAATGGAAAAAATCATTCTTAAAAATAATTCCAAAACCAGGCAAAACGAATTATGAAATAAATAAAAGTTATAGACCTATATCATTGACATCTAATCTATCTAAAACATTTGAGAATATAATAAAAAATAAATTAAGTAACTATTATTTAGAGAATAATTTAATGAGCTCAAGGCAGCATGGTTTTACGAAATCTAGATCAACAATTACTGGAATGGATAAAATTATAGAAACTATATTGAAACATAAACAAAAAGAATTGACTTCCTTGATAGCTATAGATATTGCGGGTGCATTCGACAATGCATGGTGGCCTGCTATTATAAAAAGAATGGATAATGATGATGTTCCTTCAGATTTAATACGGATCATAAAATCTTATTTGA